ATGATGACAGAAAGACCGGCCCAAGCCCAAATGACAGGTCACTTTGCATACTTCCTAAGTGTGACAACCAAACACATTTTGGGGATATTGTTTTATGTTATCACTATGCTTGATTGACAGCTTGGATAACTTAGACCACTGCTTAAAAGTTGTGTGAATTATACGTCCCAGACCCTGAAGCAAATGTGAGTAACCCTACCAATACTGTTATACAGAATAAAGAAAAATCCAATTCACATATTTATTGATGTTATGAAGATGTTAACTTGTTTTTCAATGTTAATCTGACAAATTATGCAGAATGAGATTTAGTGCCAAATTTTATATGAATGCCATGTAATTTAAGATTGATTCCTTTTGATTTAGAAAACGTAACCTTTTTCAAAATAACCCGAGCCAGCTTTGTTACCTCCAATATATTGTGTGGTTCTTACATATTCAAACTTTGATATGCCACGCAGATGGCAGTTTCAAGCAAATCCCAAGCAAATGAAAATTGCATATTCAACATAGCTATATTTAGGATCCTTGTACTCCTTGCAAACAAACAGTATGTTACCATAGTCAATTAATGATGTGGATGTTTCCATGGGATTGCATACACACATTGGTAACATCTGTCACATACCAACCACAAGATATGTGCCCTGAACTACACAACATGTAATATACAGACCTAAAATATAACTGGTGTGTAGATAGCTCATAGTGAAATAATAAGTAAGTGGCAGTCTCTACAGGGCTACACACAGCATCAAGGACCTGGTGACTCTGTACCATCGAAAACAAAGGGAGGTTTCAGACTAATAGACACAGAGGACCCCTTACTGGTTTGAGATGGAAGGACATAGGCTTTTCCATGGATCAGTGACCAAGGCCCTCTGGCGATCTGAAGCTCAACCAAAATGTCCCTTGCTTTATAAATTGCCTCAAGATACAAGGATCTCTACCAGTAATCTCAAGCACTGTATCTATCAGTACAAAAACAATTTGTAAAGTTACATGTATATGTCAGGGTAGAGACTGTGATCGGAGTCTCTACCAGTAGAGATTGCGATCGGAGTCTCTACTGGTAGAATCTCCGATCCTACTAGTAGAGATTGCAATCGTAGTCTCTACTGGTAGAGACTACGATTATATGGAATAACCTATGCAAGCAAGTGCAAGCTTATGCAAGCAAGTATAATAAGTGGGGATTATGTTTTCCTATTATTTGCCAGTTATAATTTAACTTATTTATTGTTAATATATCTTGTTAACATTATTTGTTAAGTCTGTTTTGGAGTAAGGTATTTTGTTTTTGTTTTTTGAGTGGAGTCCAAATTTGGCAGCTTGGTCTCATGATGTAAATACAGTGTTACAAACCATTTTTATTTTTTATTTTGATATTGTTTACAGTGAGGTGTTAAATGTTTGTTATCAAAGTCTCAGTTAAAAGTAGGAAGTTCATTCAGATGTATTTCAAAACTTAAGATCAGTAATTGTTATAAGAACACTGCTTTCCATTGAGGTTGGGAAATGACCAGGTGGGGATATGGCAGATGGGGTAATGATTTATATTAATTATTTGATTTATACAACGGTTGGACAGCAAGCAGGACACAAGGATCAACTGTATGTTCTTGCAAGGGGACCTGTGTAACGAACAGATGTAGGTGCAAAAAACAAGGAATGAAATGCTCAACAAAGTGCCACCCATCAACAACTAACGTGTGCCAAAATAAAGTTTAGTACTTATGATTATGCAGTTTTTGCCATGACGCAGAAAACCTGCGTATTTGACTCACAAATTATCTCAAATATGCAGTGAATTTATAAGCTCACGTCATTGTTGAGGCAATGCTCGACCTGGGCTGTTAGTTCAGTTAACTTTACTTTAGTTTAAGTTTGAGTACATATTGTAATTTATTGTTGTTTAAAACTTGGACCTGTTGTTATTAAACAGTTAATCTCTTGATGAAAGAAGTTGACTCCCAAAAACATGTCCATGACTCCCTCTCATGACACCAGGGAGTCATGATTTAATCACAACAAAGACTCTAAATTTTTATGCCTAGGGCAAACACTGATTATGCAATTGATCTTGCTTGTAATCAGTTTTGTAATATATGTATGTATTGTAATATGATCTCTCAAGACACATTGGTATTTTTAGTCCTTAATATATCTGTAGAAGTGGAAACAGTCTAGTGTTATATCTGAATAAAATGCATAGTACTGTTCAGAAAAAGTGTCTTTGATGTTTACCCACAGATCACTCGGAGTTTCTACCAGTTGAAGACGATTGCAGCCTCTACTAGTAGGATCGGAGTTTCTACAAGTTGAATTGGAAATGTACTGGTAGAATCTCCGATTCAACCAGTAGAGACTACGATTACAATCTCTACGAGTAGGATCGGAGATTCTACCAGTAGAGACTCCGATCACAGTCTCTACTGGTAGAGACTCCGATCAGAATCTCTACTGGTAGAATCTCTGATTCTACCAGATCGCAGTCTCTACCCTGACATATACATAACATAGAAATGAATACAACTGAGGTGTCAAATCATGTCATTCTGCCATACAATTAAAATGTCATAATGTTCATTTTCATTGCTATATGAAATAATTAATCTGCAAATGAGAAATATTTCCATACATTATCTCATCATATGTACCCAAATGTAAGGTGCTTGTAGGTTTGACATGCTATGCAAATGACTTCATATCTGTAAAGACAATGTCCCCTGTGTACTGTTGACTGAGATAACTATGGTTCCACAAACAGTTAACCCACAACACATCCAAATGCTATGAGAAAATAAGAGGTTATCAGAATGGCATGTCAGTACAGTGTTTATCACTTGATAGCTTCCAAGTTCATACATAATACGCTCGCTCAGCACGTTGAACTTTTTCTATTTACTACCAGTGAATTGTGTGTCTATCAATTTAGATTCATGAAAGACAAAAACACATCTCGCTGAGCTCATATTTGAACAACTTTTTAAAGACTTATGTGTGGGTGAAAAAAGAAGCATGAGGGGACGTTCTGACACAAACCAATGACATACAATGAACAGCATGTAGATCAATGAAATCAGTGTATGACATTTGTGACAATGGTTAAAGACAACTGAACATACAATAGCTAATGGAAAATTTAGTGACGAGTTGATGCAAAACGTTTGGTAAATATCACCATGTTAACTATATTAATAGGTATGCAATACTAACCACTAACACTTCTGTACAACGTTTTCAGTCCACTAATGGCCCAAGGTGGCATCATTTTCCATAGATTTCCATAGATTTCATGTCAACGCACTGACTATTCCTAAAGCTGAACATAGTTAGACTGTTACTAGATTTGGACATGTGGTTAAGTTGCACACTGAGCTAGTTGAATGTGACTTGCAAAACAGTAAGTGGGGGAGGGACTGGAAGCCTTTAGGTTTGCTCCTAAGATTTAATCTAACACTTACACTACAAGGACAAAAGTAACACTACAAGGACCCTTGGACTTTCATGATTAATATGGAACAATGACTGATCATGACAACAACTGAAGTATATAATAGTGGTATTCCAATGATCGATTATAATCGATAATTGATTGGTTACCCTTATCCGATGTGATAATCGATTGCAAAATTGCATAATCGATTGTCGCTAATAATTCTTAGAAAAACAGTAATGAATACCCAACTCAGACCACAAGGCAAGGGGAAATTTCAACCGATTCCCACCACTAGTATATAATATTAGGTGTGACAGGTTACAACTCACTCCGTAATTTTTATGCCTGCACTCAGCTAAAGTCCAGCAATATGGCAGCAGTCTGTAAATAATCGAGCCTGGACCAGACAATCCAGTGATCAACACAGCATGAGCAACGATCTGCGCAATTGGGAACCGATGACAAGTGTCAACCAAGTCAGCGAGCCTGACCACCTGATCCTGTTGCCTCTTACGACAAGCACGGGTTACTGAAGATCAATATTCTAACCCGGACCTTCACAGGTCTACAACTTCCAGAAATGTAAGCATGTTAGGTAATTTAGTAAATACAAGGCTGTTTGAGATCAACAATGAGGAAACTGACAACAAAACTATGTATTTCCCATGAACAATGATGAAAATGTTAAAGGTGTGTGTGTCTGCTTGAGTGTATATCAGAAGACTCCAATAATTCTCTATTGTCTGTCATGAGGCATAGCTGCACTGACAATCACCTGCTGTGTTTCACACCTTTTCAATCACTTCTATGATTCAACAAACTAATGACTTACTGCCGACAGATTAATTCATTCCTACTTGCCACATTCTCACAAGGAAAGAAATCACCTTTCCACATTGCATAGTTCAAGAGTAATGAGACACATTAGTCCAATACAGGCGGGACATTGCCATGTTTGTAATCATAGGCAGTCTACCAACATAAATTTCAAGAATTTACAGTATACAAACACAAATCCAAATTCCTACGACGAAGCTCTTGTTCATGCATAAGTCATTTTATACCTAATAACAAAGTGGACGTATTTCCATTGGATGACAGACAACTTGTATCCTTGTCACTTACTAAAACTTAAATATCCAACAACTGACTTAAAAGTCTAACACGTTAAAAGCTTAACTAAAGTTTCACAGGGTAAGATATTTGCTCGTCTAATAATATCAAGCAAAGACTTCAGTTCAAATCTTCAATCGTTCAATAAGACCATAGCTGACTGCTTGCGGAAGTCGGCTTGTCGCGGTTATTCCTTACTGAAAGAGGGAACTATGACAATGTTGACATTTTATTTCTGCTGGTAGAAATGAAACAACATACTCTTGTGTCCTTGTACCATGCCTAGCAGTGGGTATTAGTAGTATCAGTATGTCAAAGTTAGGACTATATCTCGAACAACGAGTCGAGAATGGCAGCCATGTTTCATTGGACCGACTCAAATGTGTTGCTTTTCGGTCTGCCCACGGAGAGGGTAATATAACATATAATGCTTGTTAGATTTTACCTGTAAGACGTAATTTCATGGGTCCATTCCTCCTTGGCCCTTCACTAGCCATCATTCAAACGAAATTTGTATTTGAACATCCTCTTTGTGTAGTAGACATAAGCCAACTTACTCCAGTGTTGACTTCATGTGCACCAAGCTGTTCACATGCAAATGAGCAGTGAGTCGGCTCGTCACTTCCGGTGAGTATGAGGGGGGTTCTTGTGACGTCACGGTAGTTCATGAATAAGGTATTTATACCACACACAGAATATATAGGAACTACGAATACAGCTTTGGAAAAAAAGTTATCACTCCTTCCAAGTCCCCCCACCCCCCCCCACACACACACACATTTATGTCAGTACTGTAGTCACTAGATTTCAAAACGCTGTAGGTTTAACCAGGGCACCGTGACGTCATCTTCTTTTGTTACTGTCATCCGAGTGGGGTAAAAAATAGGGTGTCATTGAATAAATAGGGCATGACAAGTGAACAGGGTTTTGAGATTAGTACTTCCTTGAAATATATATGTATTTATTAGTTTTTTTTCGTAAGAAAAATATTTTATTAAATAAATAAATTAAACTCTTATAACCTTACTCTCACAAAACTCAACATGCTGATAAACGCAAGTGTTACCCGGATTAATTACATCTTCATGAAGGCACACCTAAGTTTCTGACGATAAAAGTGTTTTGATGACAATAGTAATTATCCTACACCTTGGCTAGCTATCCCACGCACTGAGAAATTCACAAGTGTCCTATACTGGGCCGAAGGATGATTCACAGTCGCCTACATAACGAATAAAAGACATGTCGCTTTCTAAGATGTTATCTCCATCGGAGTATGCATGCTTGAATCACTTGAGGCCAACTTTACTCTACAGAGTCACTGTTGCTCGGGAGGCCCTGTTGAACAACACACATTTAGCCACAATGAAGCGGATTTCTTTTCAACATTTGTTTTCTTTAGTTACTGAAACTATATATTTGTGGACAATAGGTATTTTCCTGGCATGTTTTGTAGATTGAATATACTATTAGTGGAGCACCGGATGGCGATAAGTACTGTGGGTTGTTATATATACAATGGTTGTTGTGATTTGAGATTTTATATACGATGTGATACAATGTTTGTATTTGTTATTATGAATTACTAATTATCCCCATGAACATAGCTTACAGCGTATATTAAGTACTTACCATAAAATACACATATTCTATAATTCCTTTTAAATCTGTTTTGTGACCATGATATTTACAGGATACATATGCCATACTTTATTAATACTATTAACTTGTACTAATACAGCTGTTCTTCGACAAATATCAGAATGCTGACTGTGTAGGCTGTTCTACAGACATGATGATTTAATTAGCCCACGTACGTGAATTGTCTTGCATCATAGCGTTGGCGATGCCTAATTGTCCGTATATATAGTGTTACTGTAGGGTAAACACCAACCATGCAGCTCTTTGTCGGCAAGATCAAAGCCACAACGAGATACTTTATCAACCCGATGCACCTGTGCTGACTACAACCGGCAATGAGTCTTTATACAATATTGTATATACGTGTGTTTACATTTCCTGATGCAGATAGTAGTGTTACATAGGTTAGAGACAGATCGTCAATGTTCCATTCGGAAACCTAAAGAAAGAAATCTTTAGTGGTGAACTCAATTGAAACTTTGTTAATTACTTCATCGTTGTTTATGTGTATATACGTCATGAACTGTTTACTCAAACAGCTGTATATTCTGGCTAGTGGAGCGGCTAAGCAGATAAAATGTGCATTTAATGATAAAAGCATGAAACTTTGCACATTTATAGACTGATGCATAGTGAACATTTTAGGATATGGAGGCACTCAAAATAATTTAATTTGCGCATGCGCAGTAGATAAATAATATTTTGCCTCTTCTGGCTCCCGTTATAGCTATGGGCCTGCCATCAGTACAAAAAATACTGACCCAAAATACTGGTTAAACATCTTGAAAACATAGCTGAGTCAATGTTATGAACACTGGCTCTCGCACCAGTGCATGTAAGTGAGGGCTGACTGCACTTGCATCGGTTGTTACATCCCTTTGTACTGACAAGATACCAACTCCTGACAAGATTCTGGTGTAGTGTCGTCCAGTAGGGAACATACTGTCCATTTTCCTTCTGTATCACTCACTTGGAGATGGGAGTTCAGGCTGTGGAAGAATGACTGACCCCACACATGACCTGCCTGGTAAGCTGCCCTTTTGACATGCTGTACATGTGTTGATGGGGTGGCATGAATTGAATTTTTCTTCGCAAATAATATCAAATAAAAGTGATTGAACATAAAAAGAAAAATATTCCCAAAGCATCCTTCCGTGATGGTAGGGAACGAGCAGTTGCCATATAGTGCTCTTACTTCGTGTGGGTTTGTAAGCAGAGGGAGGTTCTAAGCCTACATCTCTGTGTGCTCGAAGTATCACCGATCTCATCCAGAAGGATATCTAGTTGTTTTGGATACTTCTGCTGTGACATCTCTCATGAGCGGGATGAAGAGTCGTCTTAACTTCTGACGTCTGGTGCTCGTTCTACGTAGATAGATGCGTGGGACTAGACCAGACGCAGTGATAAGTCTTCCTTATCTTCATTGCCAAGTATTGAAGATAATAGTGGGATGTGAAACTGTCCGTCTGGCTGATTTTTGGCAATAAAATCCAAACGGAGGCCAAGATGCACGGATGTATTGGGACCTTTATCAAATCTGGTGAGGCTGAGGTCTATAGAATGGAATTCTGACATTCTGAGTGAGTTCGGAGCCTTCACCATGTTGATGACAGAGCTGATGGGTGCTAAGAGCCCAGTCTTGAGATTTTGAGGTTTCGAGGTTGTATATATCTGCTGGAATCTCCTTACTTCTGGCAAATTGGTCAAGACTCTTCCACTTATCATCATACAGGCTTCAGGTAGATCTGCATAGAGACCGGAAGACTTCTGCTCTGCTGGAATATCCGCGCCTGGTTAAGTTCTTCTTGATATGCTCCATGCGTGCAGATCGAAGACACTCGGATTTTGATGCTGCTGCTTCATGTGAGGATAAGTGAGAAGGTTTGAGAACCGGATTGCCTGCTAGCTGGATGAGTTGGCTGTCCTGGCCCCGATTTCTCGAAACAAACTTAAGTCTGAGTTTTGACTTAAGTTCGAATTTTTACTCAAATTTGAGAAAACGCATTTCCTGGAATCAGGGATACTCTACAACACCTTATAGAGTCTCCCTGCTAGAATGAACTGAAATCGATATTAAACTCAAACATAGTAGACAATTTGAGTTTGGTGAATAGAATACTTAAGTTGTTTGGGCTTTTTTATTATAAAAATGCAGCTGAGTTCAAAATTCATCTGTTTCAAATTGTCAAACTCAGTTTGAAATTTGAGTAAAAACTTAAGTTTGTTTTGAGAAATCGGGGCCTGGTCTTCAATGACTGATTGGTCAGTCGAGGGGCCCAGTGGTTAATTGCTCGGATAACTGCCTAACCTCGGTGATTGATGTGAAGTAGCTTCTCTTCTGGAGACCACAGCCCTGAGGTTACATCTGTGTCGAGGTGTGCTCCCCAATCCTGTAGAGACGCGTCTACTCACAGATGCAGGTTGAAGTTTAGCTCGCCCAGAAGATCCTTGCGCAGACCTTTGATTCATCGTCCACCACTGGAAATACTCTGGTAGGTGATGTGGTAGTTGTGGTCTGAAGTCCTGCTGGACCAGCAGTCAGGCTAGAAACCTCTGGTTTGGTCGTAGTTGCAGTCTGCCCCTCTTCGTGAGTGATTGGGATGACGTTGGGCAGCAATCGTAGCGTGTAATTCAACTGACGTTTGAGTTTAACGGCTTGTTGAAGTGATTTAATGCCATTGTCTAGGTAGAAGGTGCATCAACTTACCCTGAAGGAAGGGTGAAGGAAGCTCACGATAGGCTTGGTTACCCATATGTATAAGCACGGGCCATGAAATTGCCAAACTGTAGAACCCTCCACTGGTTTTTTGATGGTTGAACAGGAATCGTAGATACTTCCTGGACCCTGGGTGGATTGGCATATGCAGATGTGCATCCCTTAAATCCATGCTTGCCAGAAAGTTGTTCTGTCTTATCATCTGCTTCAGCTGTAGAAGGTAGAGAATTTCGAACTTCTCTGTCTTCAATAAGTCATCATTGTTGAACGTCTTCATATTAGTCTGGATTTTTCTGATAAATTGTTCTTGGGAACCAAGAAAATTGGGGAGCAGAACCCTGGGTCGAGTGCCTCTTGAGGTTTATTGCTTCTTTGGATAGAACTGACTCTATCGCATCTGTGAGCTTCGGTTGTAGGGTTGCTTGTAATGTATCTGCGGAAGATAGAGTGGAGCGGTGGCGTCGTGTTCACTGGATGGTATATCTATTCCTTAAGATTTGTGTGATGAATGGGTCTACCAGAAGGTCCCACTTTGGCCAATACTTCCTTGTCTACGTAGCAAGGTGAGTCCCGCCGATGCTGAGCAGATCTGGTCGGAGATAGACTCCTGGTACTTCTCCTCGATGACCATGGACAAAAGCATACGTTCTTTGTCGGACTGTGATCTTTGAAGTGTGATATCAGCGCCTTGTTGATGGATCTGGACATGGTGAGGCCCAGGAAGACTCGTCTGAAAATAGTATCAAGCTGAGCAAGCCGGGAAGACCCTGCATTCTGGTAGCATTGGTTCTTGATGACTTGCAAAGTTGCTCCAGTTGGTGGTAAGGTGAAGGAGGACGATCCTTCGATGGGGAAGCTATGGGTAACCCGTCTGCAATCCAAGTTATAGTTTGGCATGAAATGCATGTGGACCCGGTTTTTTGTAAATATCTCTTCATCCAATGACCCAATCGATCGCAAACTGTGCAAGTGGATGTTTTGTCAGACAACCAAATCACATTGTAAATCACCGATTTTATGCATTTGTATTAAAGAATCTGTCTATGTAACTGTCAACAAAATAAACAGCAGAACGCAAACTGCTTGCAGAGGGAGGGAGCCAATGACCTGTAACAGTGGCAGTCATAATAACAACCGGGTCCTCATGCATTTCATGCCAAACTATAGCTGGTATTTATCATCGTAGATTGATGTTGGCCCTTCATGATACGATTCTAACCCTGTTGGCACTAATATAAGAGTGTGA